AGTTCCTCTATTGTTCTGTCGGTTGTCACAGGAAGCTTGTGTGTAGCAACATGTTACCTGGTAGCGACTCGTTCGTTGTTATCTGTTGTAATGTGCGTATCTGTTGCCACGGGAATGCGTATTTACCAAACCGTTGTCCAGCAAGGGCCTGTTCCGCGTTGCCACGGGAACGTGCTTAGCGAAGCGTTGCCTAGCAGTTGATCATATTCCGGCTTTCAGGCATCATGTCACAATATTTACCCAATAGTCTGTATAACTACGCACTTCTCTCATATTTGTACCAGCATTTCGAGGCTTCTGGGTTTCAGAAGTCCTGATACAATAAGATACTGACAAGATATCGATACACCAAGCCGCACTTGATCTGTTGTCAGATGATAAATTCGAAGTATAAATCGCAATATGCAAACAAAATAGTTTAAATTCTTCACCGAATTCTATGATGAAGGGCTACATTTAGTCCATTCTACTGAACGACAACTTGAACAATCCATTTCGCGTTCTGTATGGCTAATGTTATTTTTTGCCATCCGTTCGTTGTAATATGAATAGATAAACTGAAGTGTAAGTTTCATACGTTTAAAACGTAATGCCTCTGGGCCCAGAAAGTCTTAAGTCCAATAAGGAAACTTCTAAAGCACAACGCTTTTATTTTCAAACATCTGTTAAAACCCCATACATATAAAGATGAAGAAATATTTTCCATTACATTTGTTCGTTCTCAATTTGCAATATTAGCATATAATTATGTTAATGTCAGTCGGAACAAGGCCACGTACTGTCTGTGTTTGGCTGAAATAACAACGTTATATAAACTTTGTACAGTAGAGATCTTGTGCTATTATACAACTCGAAAGCAGATATTTCCAACTTTGAAATCGTATGCTAGGAAATGTTTTTTAGTTCTAATGTATTTTTTGGTTATTAAACGATGTTCCTTCAGTTACAAGTATTAGCCTATGTAGCAGTTTATAATACTGCACGTAGTACAGTGTCCTATAGACGAGGTTTGGATTGGTGATTGGATTTATTGACCACTTACAGATGGTAACTACGAGCAATTATAACGCTCCCGCTAATTAATGTGCTCCTCTTCTTACTACAGCACATGCTAAGTCTTCTCAGTTTGTTTTCACTAGCCTCTGCTTAGTCGTTACTGGCCGGCGACTGTTTCCCAAGTAACTCCCAGGCTGGCGGCCATCTCACACCAACCTCCTACTCTTCTCATTGGCTCCAAGTAAGCTAACTGCAGCCAAAGTCAACGTCAAAGTTACTTTAAGACTGGACGTAAACGTCGCCCTTTAGTAGTTAACAATACTGCTTCGCATTCGAGAAGTCTTCATTAAGAATCTCAGCCCGAAATCCGACTAACCTGACAAGTTTGCTCACTTCCTCGACGAATGTTAGCATAGTACTACAAGATAGAGCCAACAACAACGCTTCTTCAGTAATTTTCAATTCGTTGTTGAAAATACAGCCGTTATTCTATTCTAAATAATTCATGTAGTTGAAAGTAGTAGTTGAATAAACCAGCAAAGGACATCAATTCTGGATCTGATATATGATTCTTGAATTACTGGGATTGAGATTAGCTCTTTCTAAGGAGCCCAATTGAGTAGGTGTCTTCATTTCTCACCTAAAGACGGAAACAGATCCAGTTTCCGAAACGCCGTGTCCTCTATTACCTAGAATTCCGAACGATGGAAAAAGTCCAAAAACCCAGTAATTCTGTGTGCCATCCACCATCGTCAGAACCCTCCAGAATCTACATGACTCTTGAAGTTTGGGAGGTTTTTATTTAAAGCAGCGGAAGTGAACATTTCGTAAATTGTGTTCAACACAAATTTCACGAGAAGAGTGGGGCAGTGTTGATATGGGTATAATCTGAGACAGGTTCAGATCTAACCACTGGAACACCGCGGCGGCCCGGGTTCGATCCTGGGTCTGGTCAAGTGGCATCTGTGGTGGACAAAGTGGCGCTGGGGCAGGTTTTCTCCGAGTACTTCGGTTTCCCTTGCCAATCTTCATTCCACGAATTGCTCCACAATCACCCTCACCTATCATCTGGGGCTGGTACAATAGGCCAGAAGTGGCCGCAGTACAAGGGACTTAGTCCCACCCCACTGGAACACATACTAGTTAACAGGAAATCGGGAGCTCCGTTACAGAGACGATGGCTGTAGGCTGTGGGGGGAGGAATCAATATGACTGTACCCGAGTGCTAGTTGCTGGACTTGAATGATATGATGCCTCGGTTCAATGAATGTTCAGATGATCCTATGAATGGTGGAGCAAGATTGGAATCGCTTCCGGCAAGCTGGTTATCCTGATGAAATTGGGCACACGGGTTGAATGTGAGGAGCAGTACGCCACGCCATTTCTTGGAGCTGAAGTTCCGATTTGAGCCTTGGTTTCCTCTACTGAAGTGTTCCATAAATTCTTATTAAGTTCGGCTGTAGGACATCTTTGTTGCAGGATCGCACCAACATAAGACATCTACAGTCAGAGGACACCCAAATCCTTGGTATTTATTCAGTGCAGTACGAAACTTTCCTTATTATACGCCAGCATACACAGTGTATGTGCATGTCCTGTGTTACAAAATAACATACATTTATACACACTGGCTACTCAATATTATCTGATAAGAAAAATTGCCCCTGTGATAAGCTAATTAAACACTACGCCATGGGGAATGAATGTATAGAGCCACGTTTTGTTAATCTCGGCAGTAGTTGGAGGTGAGTGGTCAGCTTCACGCCCCAGCCGCTTTACCCCCCGGGAAAAAGGCCCCGGTACACATTTGATAGGAAGCTCGGTGTGCCCCAGATTCGCCTGGACGACGTGGAAAGGAGAAAATTCTTGACCTTAACGGGACTCGAACTCTCGACAATTATTATCTGATAAAACAAGTGAGATACAAACCCGAGTTTAGTTTCGTTACATGTCACTAGAGAGAGAACGAATACAATGAATTCCCAATATAACAACAGCAAGAAGCCTGCTGACGTGTGTGCAACTAGTAAAGAAAGTACTAGTTAGAAACCGTCCACAAGAACATTTTTCGGTACTGTAATATTCGTTAGTGGTGTTAATCAATTGCTTATCAATATTATATAGACATATAGGCTTACATATATCAACCCGATGACACATTGGACGCCATGTTATATGCATACATATATGGGCACACTTATGTTTGTGTGTGGCGTAAGTGCATGTGTCTGTATGTGTAAATTTTATATATCAACGAACCCGATTAGTCTACGGTAGATTGTCTCTTTGATAGAATTTATTTCCTTATTTTAAAAATCTCCATCTATCTACCTATGGCTCTACAGTCCTTTGTTGGGCCTTGGCCGCTTTTTCAGTTTCTTGATATATACACAGTCGGTAGAACTCCATGGACGGGGGATCAGCTCGAAGCAAGGCCGCTACCTACACGCAGAAAACCACAAACACAGAATAAACGCACACGGACATCAATGCCTTGAATGGGATTCGAGCTCACGATTCCGGCGTTCGAGCAATTGAATAAAGTCCATGCCTTACACAGCGCGGCCACTGTGATTGGCAGAATCTCAATCGGCCGAGACAAATTCACCTATGTAGTTGGATTACAATGCAACATTGAGCAAGATATCGCGTAGCAAATTCATTTATTTTTTTAGAGAAATTTTAAACAGACTTGTCGTTCGTATACCAGCCGTCAAAATAAAACCAATCATTCATAGTGAGAAATGAAGAAGAGCTCAATTTTTAAAATATTGTGACATAATGACGTAAAGCCAGAACAGACGGCCGTTGCTAGGGAACGGCTTCCAAAATAAAGTAAAACCTATACGTTCCTTCCATATTACATGGAGTTTTGTATTTTAAAATTATAAAAAATCTAGAAAACCAAAACTATACATCTGAATACACTTTGTCGTTATAATACTTTAAATTTTAGCATTGAGGTTGGACAATTTAATATTGTCTAACATTTTAATAATCGAAGAATCTCACTTCACTCCAAGTGACTGAATCTTTGATAACATTTGCAGTTTTCACGTACCCAATCATTTATCAGTGCAGCGTAAACTTGTGTGATATTCACTGATTCCCTCGAGTATTTCTAAAGATTTGCTGGAGACAAGTGCAGCAGAATTGAAGCACTTTTCTTTGTAAATTCCCAGGCTTTAGTGGAACGTGTCTTCTCGTTATAAATTAGCCATGGAGCATGGATGCCAATCCATTCAATCACTGAAAGTGTTTTTTCCTCTATATATGCACGAATATTCCCATAAATGTTTCGCAATTAATTATGTACTGTTAAGCACACATCCCGCGAAAATTCCAGATATGGTTTGACATTGTCACCAACTATCTTGTAATAAAGAGCAATATTTTCTTCAGCCCAAAGGAGAGATTCACCAGAATAAAATTTTGTTTTTGCTCATGAATCTTGCCATACTAGAGAGCGCCAATATCTTTCAGAAAACAACCTCTCTTTGTCGAATGGAGTGATCCATGTTTCCCAGTGTCGTATGAGAGAAGTCCAACAATTGCCAACAGCAAGAGGAAACTTCCACTTTTCCATGGAAATGATCATGATACAGCCATCTTCTTAAGAATTTCCTCACAGAAATTTTAAGTGTTAATTGTTTTCAATAATCATTGTTTGGTAGGGGCTTTGAACAATTCTGAGCCATTATGCCACAATATTCAGTGTGAAGTTCAAAAGGAATATAAATCATACGTAATGCTGTATATAGACATTATTTCACTACTACATGCTGTATCGACATATCGATGTTGTCAGAATAATTCAGTTGTACGAGAGATTACTAATTCTATTGAGGAAACACTGCATTAGGTGTTGTCATTCGGTTATAGTTATGACAAATTTCTAGTCGCTTATCGTCTGCTTCAGCACGTTACAGCACTAGGATTCTTATGGGCTACAAATTTCTCATAGAGAAGCACCGCGCATATTCGCAATCGATACTACGAGTAAATCCAAAATGGAGTCAACGCAGTTCCTACACCACGTAGTCTACAATGTCACATATTTAATTGCATCTATGAAATGGTGGAGTTTTGTGTCAATTTTAAACTTTGTTGTCTTAAAACAAAGTTTCCTGTGAATATAAAAATGAGTATTGTTTCACATCGTAAGTGATCAGGTTTATATAACGATGGCGCGCCTCAACCTTCGTATCTGTGCGTGACGTGTTTTATGTAGCTGTGCAGATAGGACAGGAGTTGTCTTTGCACACAGTGATATTAGAATACTTCTCAGCATGACGGGAGCTTACCCCAACATGGAGCCTTCCTGCGTATTGATCGCCATTTATATCACAGCTGTTCTACACAGCAGTGTTCTGACAGGTGACACATTTTCGTTAAGCGATTCTACTTTTAGTTTCACTTTTACTTTTCCCATTTTGTGGGACTTGATATTTCAGATACGTAAATACCTGAAAACAGCAATAACAAGGCAAAAAATATGTTCATATTAATATTAAACGAGTGAAGAAGTACTTACATTATTCAGATCAAATAATACCCACCCATGATTTTGCAAGCACTGAAATTTTTAAGCAAGACAACAATTTGGCGGAATATTCGAAATGTGGTAGCTTAAGTGACGGAATAATAATTTACAAGTATCGAAAAAAAGTCTCGCCTATTGGGTAAGTATTTCTCCTTCATTTCTACGCAGACGTCTTCCAATTGATCTCAAGTGAAAAACAGAGGCTCCTTCAGTGGAAGGATCCTCCTGTCATAGGCGGGCTTATTAGCCCAATGTTATCACAATAACTTATAGAAAGTTGTAATTCTGATTGCTAGTTAAGTAATAAAAAAATTTCTAGGAGGTGAGGGGTTATAATGTCGGTCTGAAGCTAGGGCTATCTTTACTGTCATCGTGTTCTTCTCCTTGCCGGAATAGCACCTCAAATTAAGTCAAAACCGCCTCCTTCCTCATCGCTTCCATTTAATTATCCATGAATTATATGCCAGTTAACTTTACATAGTCCAAGCTACTGACACCATCATCAAGCAGGAGTAAAACAAATAAATATGCTTAAGAAAGAAGTATAAGTTCCTAAAAAATTTTAGGGAAACTATGTAGAAAGAAAGCCGCAGACGCATTATACTCGCAGAAAAACAAATGATAAACACGACATTCTGCGACTAAAAAATGCATGCGAAGAAATCTTGATGGACACCGGAACGAGAAAGTGAGAACAGTAACATGTATGTGAGAAGCAGGCGTGTATTTAAATATATGAGGTGGACTGAACTGGCTCGGGATATAGTATTTGCAACGATAAATTCTAATTCCATTACCATATTGCTAGTTAAGTTAATCCCGTTCGAACCACAAGAATTTAAACACCGAACGGAAATAAACTACTGTATTCCCATCCTAAATTAACTTAAATTTTCTGGATTCTACAGTGATCATCTTATAAATTAAATAGATCGCACATTACAAAGTTCTAATTTCGATATTTGCATATTGTTATATCAATATTATTTCAAAACCAACCCTTTTTACGCAGCTGCTTCTGTTCCACACCGTTGATTGTATGACATCAAATTCGTTTTTATACTAGCGAAGTATTTTATTATGCAAAAAAGAACTCCGTGGGCTGTAGTCCGCAAACAAACTATACCGACCGAGCGACCGAGCTTGTCGGCGAAGTTAGTGCCAACTTTAGCTGATAGATGGTGTCGCGTCGTCAGTGCAACGAATCCCCACTGCCGTTAATTTCGGTTTTCTAGACCGGAGCCATTGTTTCCTTGAAACAGCTCCTCAATTATCATCACCAGGCTGACTGGACCCCGTTCCAGACCCACTACTTCTCAGAAAAACTTCTTATAGCGCCGGAAATAGAACCCGGACCTCTGGATCTGTAGCCAGGAACTCTGACCACAGACAGTTTCATAATATTACTGTGATTATTAGATACAGACAGATGGAATATCTGGCACGCATGAGGGGAAAGAAGAAATCCGTGGTAAGGAGTACAAAATGTGGTTGGGAAATGTCAAGGAAGAGGCAACCTTGTAGATACGAGAGTAGGCCTGATACCAAATTGGGTATTCGTGAATGTTATGAAAATGAAAACTTCAGTGGAGTGGCCCAACGAAAGGGCCATTTAACAGTTTATGGGGAAAAGAAAGGCGAGCCTTCAACTTCGATAACAACAGGAGATTTCTTGATCAGCTGAATAACTCTCTATTACTTAAAGAAGACGCCAACTACAAAGATATAAGCAGAGAAATCTAAAATGCGGCCATCTGTATTTGTCTGCTGCTTTTATAGTTAGGCAGGTTGATTTTCCACATCTTACTTTTATTGTAGGACACTGAATCCTTTACACAGACGTTACGACCTTTACAAAGCCATACAGAATCATGTAAATGTCGACAGGCGGGAGAGCAATCGAGGTCATAATTTCATAATTTTCAACTTGAAATACGTGACAACATTGATCGGCTTGTACGTGTCTCTAGTCATAAATATTACTCGAAATAATATATAAAATTTCACACGCGCTGTTACCCCGAGGGTGACAAAACGCACTCTTAAAATATTATCCCTTCCACCAGCGGACTAACACTCATGGAAATTTCTGGGGAGAAGAGCAGAGGCAGCGTCGTTCAAAACAAGTACAGAACAATGACCGACTCGGCTATGAGTCCGGGTTAGATAGTCCGTTCCAGAGAAAATCCGCGGTTCATCTCCGGACACACGAAATTAGAGGATTCTCAATTAAATCATAGCCGATAATTTCCCCTCAATTTTAAAATATGGACGTAATTTCTTTTAGCTGCTCTCAATGCTCAATAGGCAGCTGCGGACAACGGTAAGTTGGTCTTCAAGTGTTTTCAAAAGAATTCGTAATGTTTCAAAACAAGAGAAAAGAACAATATACCCGAGAAAACATTTAATGCAAACCCTCAAAAGAAGGAACCATTTTGTTGATCTGCACTTAGATGAGAGTAAAAAGCAAGGTAAAGTTCTCCCTGTGATTTACTAATTAAGCACTATTCCATAAAGACGTATGGGGGGTGAATGTATAGATCCACGTTTTCTTGACCTCAACACTAGTTGCAGATGAGCGGTCAGCTGCACGCACCGGCTGCTTTACCCCCGAGGAAAGAGCCCCCGCTAATCAATGGATAGGTGGCTAGAGGAGCCCCAGAGAAGGTCTGAACAGCAAGGAGAAGACAAAATTCTTGACCCTAACGGGACTCGAACTCAAACCCCACAGTGGTCAAACCCATAGCTAGTCCCTATACTGACTGTACCTTTCAATATTGTACTATATGATAATATATTATTAAAACAAATCTTACAGAAATAGACTTGTACTGTGAAGTTGTAACCTGCATTCAACTGGGTCGGGAAATTAATCCCAATGGCGAGATTCTGTGATCATGGTGATGAAACGTTGGGCTTCACAACAAGAAATTCCTTGACCACTTAAACAACTACCAGCTTCTCAGAGATAATCTTATGCCAGTCAGCCAGTTACTGCGCTTCCGAACTACTTCACCACATTACTTGTCAACAGTTCTGTAAATTGTCAACAGTTCTCCTGTAAATTGTCAACAGTTCTCCTGTAAAATTGTCAACAGTTCTCCTATAAAATTGTCAACAGTTCTCCTGTAAATTGTCAACAGTTCTCCTATAAAATTGTCAACAGTTCTCCTGTAAAATTAAACTGTTATATAATCACTTTGTTTTGGAAATTATGTCGAAGCCACGCTGTTACAGCAACCCTATTGGATGAGAAGACTCGCAAGACACCTCAAGCTGCAGAGAAGGCCAACGATCTATCCTGCTTTGTATGTGACAGTATGGATGCAGGGGAACGATGCAGCAACCTCAACACAAGCGGTGTTAGCTTTATCCACAAGTGCCATGACGACAGAAGGATCTGCATGGTAAGTCAGGCATTCATTGCTCCCCATACGAGTATATGTCCGCACTGTACTGCCATCACACGAATTATTAATAACATTAAGCTGGGTCAGATAGACAGCAAATATAATGGCTTACTGCAACGTAAATGTAAGGTAACTCCGCTCAGAACAAACATATTTGGTTGAAACCTTATTTAGTTGCATTGACAACTCTAACTGTAAACCCACTTTTCCTTAAAACTGAACAACATGGCATGATGCCTTATCTATGATGTAAGCTCATTTATTGTGTATTTTGATAGTAGTTACATCGAAAAATATTTCACATAGAAAAACCATTATTCAATAATGAGCTGAAATGACTTTTTGTTACGCCCGCTTTACAGGCATTTGCACTTCTGAATCTGAAAAAAACAAACTCCGTAGCTTTAGTCCGCAAGCGAAATGTACCGACCGAGCGACCGTCGCTTGTCGGCGAAGTTAGTGCCAAATTTAGCGGACAGAGGGTGTCGCGTGGTCAGAGCAACGAATCTCCACCGCCATTAATCTCGGGTTTCTAGACCGAAGCCGCTACTTTTCCATTCAAGCAGGTCCTCAATTATCCTCACGAGGCTGAGTGGACCCCGTTCCAGACACACTACTTCTCAGAAAATCTGGTAGCGCCGGGAAACGAACCCGGATATCTGGATCTGTAGCCAGGAACGCTGACCACTAGACCACAGATGCGGTCTTACAAAACTCTGCAATTGCACGGTAAAGTATATCGGTCACATTCAACGTCTGTAGGTATTAAAGTTTACAATTTCCAAGGTGACAAGAGCTTACAAGAGCTTCACACAATGATCGACAATACGTGGAAGAAACGTCCGCCTGCTTCGGATTTTTACGTGTCTTTGTGTGTGCCTGTGTTTGTGTGCGCGCGCGTGTGTGTACTTATCTGTATATAAAATTTATGTAAAATATCCTATCCTCCTACAACTTGCAAACAGTAAACTGTACCTTCTGAGTGTGAGGATACAAACATACTCACCTAGTATAAGGAACGGCCTTTATAATTTTCATATTTGTTTGAAATTGTTATCTGTTTTGAAATCCTTTGGAACTTTAAATTTCATGGGCAGAATAAAAAAGTCTCTAAGCGACTGGAAATAGATATACGTATGTTTTTAACTAATTTATATATTTTTATCTATTTATGGTACATTTAGCAGTACCATGACTAGCTCGCATTATACGGCTCGAATAGTAGGGTGGTTAATGAATAATGGGTTAAAGAGGACTTCGGCACTAGTTGGAGGTGAGTGGTCAGCTTCACGCCCATGACTCTTTACCCCCAGGGAAGAGCCCCCAGTACCCATTGGATAGGATGCTGGGTGGACCCCAGAGCCGATCTGGACAACGTGGAGAACAGAAAATTCTTGACCTTACCGGAACCCGAACTCTGACCTCTCGGTCGTCCAGCCCGTAGCCAATCGCTTTACTGACTGCCCTATCCCAGCTTGTACTATTATGGAGATGTACCTCAGCATAAACACCATATAACCCCAGACTGGGTGGAAGAACATCCTAAGAGTTGCCTACAAGATTTACCCACTCTTTCCGCATTGAGTACGAAAACTTCTAAAAAACTTATCTTTCTTGTCAGATTTTATTTGACGCTTTACGTTCACTGACAGAAACTTATTCAGCCGCACCTAAATATTTATACTCCTACAGTCCCGTAGACTTCTCACTGTTTGATATTTTGAACAGAACATTACGTTTTGGAAACGCTTGCTGCTCTTAGTTTTAAGGAGCGTGTAGAGGAAACTTGAAGAATCGGCTCGCTATGAATCATAGGCAAATCCGAAAAGCCAAATTACTTCGCAGATTTTTAACACAGAATTTCCTCTTATCAGTAAAAACACTCCGAAGTTCCAGAAACGTTCACCAGGATGTGGTACCTTCTGAACGCTTTCCTCCCTTAATTTCATATCTAGGTCCCATATTTTTCTCAGAGGATACCAGCGGTAGTTAAGCATTCCATATAATATCAATTTTGTGTTTTTTATGCATCCGTGTTTTTGGGTTTGGTTCTAGATATAGTTTGGTGGGACTTCTTTCGCTATTTTACTTTTTAATCTCCAGTTTCTTCTCGTTAAATTTGCTCATCACCTTTGACAAAACCTGATCCTGTGTACTTATATAGAGGTAATGGGCTGGTCCCAGCTATTGAGATTAACAGCTGCTGAGATGCCTCCCAGCCTATTCATCTGAGGATGACAACAAATCCAGCTTCAAAAATATGTGTTCTCTTCGGAAGATTAAACAAGTGATGAAGACCCGAAACCCATTAGTACGATCGCCACAATCTTCTAGATTCGAATTAAAATCTTTAAAGTCTTAAAGTTAAAATTTGTGACTTCAACGATATACACTGCATCTCGCCATTGCAATGTATGCACTAAGAAAACAAGGTTACAAACAGCATGGTCAAGGGCGCAATAGAACTAGTTTCGTTTGATGATTTTGCACGCAGAGTAACGAAATCCTTCGAAATCTTTATTTTACAGGTGAAGCGGTACTCCTACTCGACAACCACCGAGAATTCGACCTACCCCACGAAGCGCCTGTGGTCACTGCAGAGGAACTGTACCAACAAATGCGAGCCCGGGTGCATAGTGATAGGGGAGCGCACCAAACTCTATGCCTGCACCGTCTGCTGCGGGCAGTCTCTCTGTAACACGATGAACGACGGCGCACCCTACCACCGACACTCCAGCGTCGTGATTCTCCTCTGCGTCCTCCTGCTGACGCCCTTCACATCGTGACCCACCAAGATCGCCTTAGCTTTCATTTCATACTATGGAAAAATATATACTAGCTGGAGTTGCATGAACTGCTGACATCTGGGAACGGTTGCAAGAACTGCTTGTACTTATCTGTTCAGTAATGGCGAAACAAGATATGCTGACAAATATGGTCATTTGGTCATACGCTGTAAATGTTTCGAATACGGGTGGGAAGCTCGAGGACTACAACAGTAGTAAGTAGCAAAGACAAACTGGTTATGTGGGTTATGTCGAACTTTTAAAAAACAATAATATTTAGTGCTTTTGTATGCTTATGGGCGATGAAACTCGTCCCTGCAGAACACCACGGACGATTATTACTCCAGGACTCTCAATTCCGTGACACGAGCTTGAAAATCGAAAACCGAATATCCCAGAAGCGAGGAGAGTTTTAATTTTGTCTGCTGTTTTAAATTATATATAACTTTATCATGTTTTTCACGCATCTTTTGAGACTACCAATCTGTCTCTGATAAGAAGGTACTGTTCTGAATATGAATATTACCCACTAAAGGGATACGACGACAGAAAGAAAAAGCATCACTGTTTGTTACATGCTTCATGATAGTTTCTTGCTTGGCTTACTCTTGGACCCTGAAGATGAACGCGATGTATTCTTCCGAAATGTCGGTCGACAGATTGTACAGTGTTATATCCCAGAAAACTAGACTCTTCATAACCACCACTGCGAGAATCCCAATTCCTACACAGGATACAATCAGTCTCACCGGAAAGAGAACACAAGTATTACAAAGTACCACAAATAAAGAAGTTATGTATGAGATAATATTTTTCTCTATTTTGAAACTTAGAATTATACGATTAGTCTCAATAAAATAATAAAATTCTTTGTACTGTCCGGAGCCTGCAAACTACTGTAGGAAGGACTGTGAATGAGATTTCATGTGTCTGTCGTGTGGTACCACAATTATACCAAAGCATATTGACGCAAAGAAGGAACATTTCAATTCAATTGCTGAAGAATATAAAGAAAAGACACCAACAATTTACGTGTACTGAAAAGGGAGTTACGTGACCTGCAAAATGTTTGTATGCAGTGAGATTTGCAATTACAGCCAATCCTAGAAAACTGCTAATAGAAGCTGAGAACAGAATTTTACACCGAAATGAATTTAAGAGCACCTGTCAGTCAAGAAATACGAAACTTAAATAATTACTTTATATGCCTATAAATCGCCTTGTAGTAAATGTCCCTGTAATATTCAAACAGCGGATTTATCATTTTAACTGCATTCAGGTTGACGACGTACGGACTCAAATTGTCTGTTTGTAACATATTTAACACCCTCAGTTTCATTTAAAGTATAGAATTTGTTTTTTTATATAGTTTCTTGAAAAATCAGTAGAATATTAGTCCGTTTTGGTTACATCGTACAACTTGAATTAGATCCCTTTGAATGAGCTGAAGCATCTAAAATAATTTCTGTGTTTTTAATGTTACTATCACAATTCTAATATGACACATCTCGACCAGCACGTTTTGTAAATACAGGAGTATTTTAATAAATAAAATAATCTTAATTGTAGTAATTATATGTTTTCATATTATACATGTGCAGAAAATATAATAATTTGTTTTACCTCTCCATTGAATGATTAAGAATATACACAAAATATTTCTGAACCTCCGAGGTAGGCCTGATTGTGTGTAGTGCCAAAATGGCAATCAGAACTGCCCTCTGCCCTTGAAGTCTCTCATCAATTCTGCCTGCCTGTATGCCTAGTGATGAAGTTTAGACTTGTAAGATTTGAGGCTTTCACGGCGGTGACTATGAAGAAAGCAGTCTTCTGGGATTTGGCACCGTGTATATGTGGTGTTAACCGACGTTTCGGAGGAACGTATCGCCCCCATCTTCAGGGTTGAAGAAGTATAAGTAAATCTGCAAGCGACAACACCGTGAGACACGGTCAAGCAGACTGCTTGACCGTGTCTCACGGTGTTGTCGCTTGCAGATTTACTTATACTTCTTCAACCCTGAAGATGGGGGCGATACGTTCCTCCGAAACGTCGGTTAACACCACATATACACGGTGCCAAATCCCAGAAGACTGCTTTCTTCAAGTTTAGACTTGTTTAGCAGCTCCTTCAGGGTAGGCTTCTCTTTGAGCTTTACCTGAGAAGGGAGACGGATCAGTCTTCGAAACATAGTAATTTCTAGAATCTCATATTTTAATTCAGGCAATGAAAAAGTTTCAGAGCATGTGTCTCAAGAAATAATAATTATACGCCGTTGGTATAAAATTTTAAGTCAGAACATACAGAGTGTATCCAAAACTTTCGGCATACTAAGTCTGATTCTAAAATTCTGTAACCTTTTACAATACAGCGCTTGCAAGTACGTGACAATGTGTGTACACACCGGCCCCAAAGATGCGACCCAGCTACCGGTCAACAATTCAAACTCTATGGTAACCTAGGGAGAATTAGTTAACTTGTTGAGTGGGATAAGTTTAACAAATCGCCTTCCTCACGGGAAAGTCGATGCCACAACGTGGAACGTGCAGCATTTTCTGAAGTTGAGAACAGACATATGATATTTGTAGCTCTGAAAGCTTATGTCATAATGTATGACTGAATTATACGCATATTAAAATACATTTAACGTACTGACTTGATTATTCACCAAAGACAGAGTCGTTCGTCAAACTGGATTACGGTGGATTGGTGAATATGGAGAAGTTAGCGGAATGACAATTAGAAAGGGAAACGGAAGTACTCGGATAAAACCTGCCCCAGTGCTATTTGTCCACTAAACTTCCCACATAACCTGATCTGGGGATGAACCCGGACCGCAGAGGTGGGAAACCGACGACTAGTGTTATACTGTATGTTGATAGAGATCTCCATTCGTCCTGCCGACCTCGCTCCACATTTACCCTACAAGTTCCTAGATTCTTAACGTGGCCACAATTTCGAGCTGTTCCGGGAATATTACCAGGTTATTCTGGAATGTGTCTATGTAATTAAAGGAGAGTATGGTTTGCTGACGTCACATTTCAATGGCCCTAGACTTCAATTTCATGGACCGAGTGCTCCACTTTCAGCTGTAAAGGAACTAATTTCCAATTTGGTCTTTCCCCCGGTTCTGTGGCTGTTACATTCTCTTCAGTCACTTGCCTCTGCAACGAACGCTGAACTAAACCGACGCATAAGTTCATCTGAGTATTTTTATTACTATACGTTCTGTGCATCAAGAACGTGAAATGAGTCTATAATTGAGAGGTCATTTTTCTATACACTTTAGCATATTTAAACTGCAAAAGTATTCAACAGACTTTGATTAAGAAAAAAGCCGTCTTCTGGGATGTGGCGCCGTGTAGAAATCGTGTTAACCGACGTTCCTCCTAAACGTCGGTTAACACACTATTTACATGGCGCTACATCCCAGAAGATGGCTTTCTTCATAGTCACCACCGTGAAAACCTCAAATCTTGTACAGACTTTGATTAAGTTTTGTATTTGAGGTCTACACGTGAAGTTGAATGAATTTAACTTTTGTACCATCGGACGTTATCCTGCACGAATGTCAAATTGGCACATTTCTGAAAGAAAGGTAATTACATAATTATATTTCCCACAATACTTCTACAAGGATCCGTCCATCCCTAATGCCTTCTTAATCAGAAAAAGAAAACTGTAATAATGAGATCACACAATGAGTTTGTTCTCAGAAAACAGAGAATCATGAAAAATAACATGCGCTAGAATCTCAGGGTGGTTTTGTTCCACAATTCACAAATCAGTACTAAAGTACTTACTTACTTATGGAGCTCAGCCCTTCTTGAGGAGAAGCCAAATCTGCATCTACTCAAGAATTTTCCAGCAATTTATGGAACCCGAAAGTTCATTACCGTGTTCACAATAGCCCTCCACTGGTACCTATTCTGGGCCAGATTAATCCAATCCATACGATCCCATTCTATCTCTCTAAGATCAATTTTACTATTGCCCACTCGCCTATGTCATGGTCTTCCCAGCAATTCCTTCCTTCCGGCTTTCCCACCAATATCCTATATGCATTCATCTTCGTCCACATTCGTGCTACATGCCCTGCCCACCTCATCCTCCTTGACTTGATCATTCTAATTATACTTGGAGAAGAGCACAAGTTATGAAGCATTCACAAAGCAATAACTAGAGAAAAATTAAACCTAATATGATGTTTATTTCCACAAATGTGGTTCAGGAAGCTGGACAAATATGGACATACTTCCTTTAAGATCACCACTGTGTAAGCAGTTCTTGCGTTTATACGCCTGTTTACACAAAAATTTACGTATGAGGCACAATATTGATTTTTAATATATGTAACTTCTATTTTTTCCTTTTATGGCTTTGGGCCAATTTAACGAAACGAAGATAAAACTAATTTACATGTATATGCCTATAATGGCCCTGTCAACAACTAAGTGAATATGCAGTTCTACTCTGTCTGCTATTTTTTAAACTATTGACTTGTATTTTAAATAAATGAGCCTCTATCCTAAGAAATATGCAAAAATAACGAAGACCATATAAGCGTATTTACTCTGTTTCACACCACTTACAAATAAAATGCTTCATACACATTGTAGGCATGTTAGCAGCCATCAAGGAAAATCAGAACATTTCCCCGCCAGAAGCAATAACTACACCCACAGAGCTACTCATACAGCGCTGTTCTCCAGCTGTTCAAATGCATCTGCTTACAATACACGCTGCAACGGCGGCGTTTATCACTCACTGGTTAATTTTCTATCGAAAATATATTATTATTAGTATTATTATAAAATAATAATAATAAACTATTAATGGGAAAGCCAAAAGGAAGGAGACCAGAGGGAAGACCAAGGCGTAGGTGGGTGGACAATATTAGAATGAATCTTAGAGAGACAGGATGGGATGGTATGGATTTGATAAATCTGGCTCAGGATAGGAACCAGTGGAGAGCTCTTGTGAACACGGTGATGAACATTCGGGTTCCATAAAATGCTGTGAAATTCTTGAGTAGCTGCAGAATTGGCGGCTCCTCAAGAAGGGCTCAGCTCCATGAGTAAGTAAGTAAGTAAGTAAGTAAGTAAATAATAATAAACATTATTATAAACTTAAAATAAAGAAAACATTGATAAAAATCTCAGTCCCTGTTTAGAAAAGCGGGAAAACTAGGTACAAATAAAATCTAGAAGTAAAGTCCCTTAACAATGGAAATTATAGGAGTTATGGTCATAAAAGCCATTTCCATAGAACTGTCACTACAGGGGGTGACAATTACAGTAATTATGTCTACAAATAACAGTTTTTGTTTATACTGGTGGAATCCTTTACTTAAACCAGTTTTTGTTACCAAGGTTCCAACAGGCCCTGAACGTAAGCATTCAAGCATACCAATTTGATATCTACCAGATGGATTCTATGTATATATAGAACTTCAGAAGGCTTCAGCAATCTGCCCAGGGAAATTTGGCGGCTAGGAATCACTCAATTACAGTAACATCTAAGCAATGCTCATCTAAACAAAGCTGTTGAAAAAGTTTTACTTATAACAATCTGTTTTTAATATGAATAAATTGACTGGTTAACTGATCAGTTGGAATCATATCAGCTACAAATACTGCTATCATTTGTACCACTAACCGAATTTCTGCCAGCAAAAGGGAAGGGTGTGGCTAGCTTCTGGTGTGAACTTGCATGCTGTGACACTTCGTTCTTGAAGATGCTGTTACTTGTACACGTAATTTCAGATTAAGGAATATCCTACGCAGTAAAGATGTTAGTTAATTAATTAATAAGACTGAATTCTTAACCAGATGTTTAATTATTTTTATGTTATAGTAAATTATATATATTAAACGAGGAGCCGGGATAGCTCAGTCGGTATAACGACTGGCTACGGGCTGGATGACCGAGAGGCCGGAGTTCGAGTCTAGGTAGGGTCAGGAATTTTCACTTTTCCATGTCGTTCAGACTGGCTCTGGGGTCCACCCAGCCTCCTATATAATGGATATCGGGGCTAAAGCGGTCGGGGATTGAAGCTGACTACTCACCTCTAACAAGTGTCGAGATGAATAAAATGTGTATATACACATCCACTCCCCCATACGCCTTCATGGCATAGTTCTTAGTTAGTCAGTTAGTTAGCACAGGGACAACTTTACCTTTTTACTACAGTACTTCATCCACAAGAAACAGATGCTCTGAAACCCATTCCGAGGTTGAGAATTTCATTTACCTTGTGCATCTAGTCCTAGGTCTTCCTACATATTTTTTCTCTCTGGGAATATATGTGTATTATGATACAAATGAATTTCATATAATTCCCGGAAATGTATTTTTTATTTATATCGGAGTATGAAGTATATTATTTTCAGATTCTGGTGCTACCTAGTTGTAGCACTCCGTACACTAACAATGTCAGCCGCAGAGGGCCTCCTCTCTCCGCTACGCCACCTGTTATCATGCGCTTAAGGACGAGACGGAACCCAATTAGAAGTTACTTGCCCACGTAATCAGGGCACTAAGATCAAGTGAGGATAATGCAGTTATCCTTCTTCCCGACATGGCCGTTATAGCTCGACGTCTAATTTTCAAGATGAAGCGCTGGAGGCAGGTAATTACATAACCACTCAGTAAAAATCGTTGTTAGAAAGCCTATGGCATACATAATCGTGTTATTAGGAGCTTCTAGTTTTCAGTGGTCCGGTGCAGTTGTCTTACTCCTGACTGTACCGCCCGCACAACAGCGGTATGAAGTTGCCGTGGAAGCACGGCGAAGCAGTGAGTGGGCAGGTGAAAAGCTGAAATACATGTATGAATGTATAAGGGGTGGGCCTTCTTGGCCCTTGCACCGCGACCTGCAGTGGTTATTGTGCCTCAGCTGAAATACATAGACCACAATGAACTGTTTTTCTGTTATTACCACCAAATCCATAGTCCTTAAAATCGTATAATGAAAGACGTCTATGCGTTAATGAGTGAGTTTGAGTGTCTATCCACTGAAATGTCATTTTGTTAGGAATTTCTGCTCAAATATTCATCTACAGCGTAAATGTTTATGCCGAAGTTCGTATTATAACGGGCCAAATATGGAAGAAGGGAGGCCTGCCTGTAGTCTTTATAACACACGATTTTAAAATACATTCCCTGCAACTCTACATTCTTCATCAGTCCTAATATTCATTTTACTGCATATGAAAGTATATTGTTAAACCAGATAACGAAGAGCACGCGGTAGCGTAGTTGATTGAGGGGCTATGCTACAAGCCGGAGGCCGTGGGTTCAAGTTCCGATGAGGTTACTGGATTTTTTTCAATTGACCTAATCCTTCCAGCCGCACTATGGCCGTGGGGTTGACTCAGCCTCTAACAGAAATGGGTACCAGGAATTAATTAAATAATTTTCTTGGGGAGTAAAGCGCGGCCGGCGCGTAAGGCTGACAACCTTACCGCCATCTTTGAGCCGATTTTCTAGATAATGTTGGACCCTCAACGTCTCACAGCCCTATGGGCCTTCACGGCCTGGTACAAGGATAGCTTTACTTACTTTTGCAGATATACTGTTTAATCAGAAATCCTACTAGCGAAACTAATCAACAAAGAAACTACATGGTACGAAGCCTCCTCTAGAAGCTCACAGTTGTTCGTCACCACAGACATTCACGCCTTGAGTGGGATTCGAACCCATGATTCCAGAGTTTGAGTGAACGAAGAGAGTTCATGCCTCAGACTGCGCGGCCACTGCGATCGGCACTGAGGAAGACTGCTATATCGTTAGGCATGGGATTGTTACTTTGAATGTCAGCATAATTTTGTATCACAAATATCCCTAGTATCTGACAAAAGACTGGAGGACTTAGTCTTTCTGCCTTATTCAAGGCAGCCGTATTTTCGTTCAGTCGCTTTTCCATACCACACGCTGGGTTACAGAACCCAGACCAACACCACAGCTGCTATTGAGAATGCTGGCTCAATGGATTCTCAGATGAACTGTTTTTGTCCAAGCTGTCTTCAAGGACTAAGCGATAAATGACGTCACATTGTCTAAACCACAAAGCGCGTCATTGTGCACTGCCCTTCATGTGGCCGGCGCTAGTGCAGAAGCAGGGCAGCTTGAGAAGGAGTAAACACATACCGACTGTTTGGGAAATGTCTTACATGAATATCGACTTGGGTAAACTGTTCGAAATGCTCTTCCGCTCAGTGGCTGCTTTTCATGTTCAAATGTCATACAGGAATTTATCAGATAATATACAAAGCGGAATGCAATGCCAACTTTCGATGTGAGATAGTCTCTCACTAAATCATATACAGCCCCTAAACTTTATATAAAGTAGTTAAATTTAGAAACTGCGAGTCGGTCAGTGTGTTAGTCATTGCTTCAAACAATTTCTTATCTCTTTGGAGCAGCCTTCATAACTGCTGGTATCGACATCTGCGTCAGTTGAGCTATCAGTGCACTAAGCCACTTACATATTCTCCATTTTTCAATTACGTCCTCTCGTTCAAGTCCAGATATTCTGAGTCCATTGCTCCCGAACTCGCCCAATGTCCGTTTCCGCCAGAGTTTACTGGTGAAATTCATTTAAGTCGTAACGGATAAATTTGCCGAATATGTAGTACTCACTGAGAAATGAGCGATACGTACAAATATTGAGAAGAAACCTTAAGTGGAATGGGCTGTTGAAGTAACACGGATGGATATGAATAAAATGGATCTTAATTAAGTTAGTTAGTTAGTTAGTTATTGGAGAGGGTGGGTTTCCCCATGCATTTAGACCTGTATTGGTCCAGTGTGCTTCCCTCTATGACTTCTACCAGTCTCTATATCCTACCGGTACTGGTGCTTACCATCAGTCCCGCCCAGCCAGCGAGACCGGCTCTACTAGCTGAGAGGTATATATAATGCTTCCCCCATCTACCAGAGGTATTAGAGACTGCTGTTGGGCGGGAAACGTCCGTAAATTTAGCTCAGTGACCTCCTTTGGAGATATGAGGTTCTTTTACGTGCCGTAAAGCTACGACACGTGACCCACGGCTTAAAGTCCCTCCCGGAGGACTTGTTCCCTGAATGATCTTAATTAAAGAAAAAATTGTAGATATAAATTAGAGTTAATGGCCTGATGAGGATCCAAAGACGGGCTTTTATGATGACACTGATAAACCTTTGGATATCCACAACGACAGGAAATTTCTTCATTTGTTAGTTAACTATCAAATGCTTAAGGACGGCCCTAAAATACGGTTATTTCATAGCCAGATTTTGCCTACTGATTATATTTCATTGTACTACAATGTGCTGCAAGAGCGTCAAGAACTGCAGTTAAATTTAAATAGGTGGACCATAGTTACTTCCAAGGATATCCTGCAGTGACACCTTACTATCTCACACAGGTGCATCTGTGACATCAGATTTAATACAACAGTAGAAGTAGGCTGTGGTCCACGGTCTTCCGGTTGTATCTGCAGTGCACTGTGTAACTGAGGGGCAGAGATATCGCGAACACCTTGTACTATGCCAGTAGCGGAAAGACATGGTTCAGTATGTATCAGTGATTCCGCTGACATGAGGCAGAGAGGAGGTGAAGATACAGTTGCAGTACGCACAAGATACACTCCAGTCGAGAAATTAACCCAGTGTTAGCTCTCAGTTCTCAGTGTTTATTTGAGAAGCGACAGCAGCTAGAATGAAATATTTGACAATCCTTTTGTTTCTAACAACGATTCTGTGGCAGTCCTGTGTTGTGAAAGGGTGGAATATCCAAGAGTTGATGAAGAAAGTTTTGGAAACTGTGGATAATTTTGAGGAGTATGACATTGTCTTCCCTTTGGTGATTGCTCCTGGAAAGGATACTCTAGTGTCACGTGCTAAGAGGCATGCCAATATAAGTGAATTCCAAAGAGAATATGCTACAGAGCGTGAGTACAGCAGAGGGAATTTACTGATTGCCGAAGAAGGAGGTAATGGAGAAGCCCCAGTAGATAATGAAAGAACAGACATTTCGGAGAAAAATGTGAACAGAAATATAGGAAGTGGTATAAGATGTAAAACAGACAGCACTGCAAACCAAACATCTTCAAATGACAATCAGAATACAAGCATAAATTTAGACAGTATTAATGTTGTTCAGGAGAGAAGAAATGAACCCAAGGATAAAACGAAAGTTACATTTTTTGATGACAAAATTAAGGAGTCTGACAATACTGGACCAGGGAGTTATGAAGGAGGTGTCACTATTATAGCATTGAAAGACTGGATATTAGAGGTGAGAAACAATCCCATTTTACTACTGCAAGATGGTTTTGAAGCTGAATGGGTAACTAGTGGACAAAAGCAGTCAATAAGAAATCCCGAAAGCTGCAAGCTTCGCACTGGTATTGTGAGAGGTGATATTAAGTCTGTTGTCGCTCTCACGACGTGTGACTCTTCTCAGATAGATGGAAGTGGTACAGAAGATATGACAGGACTGATTCAGGTCAACGGCGATTCGTATTTTGTACAACCTATCGTGGCATCTGGAGGGGTAACTCGTCAGCACCCTCATTTGATGTATAGGGCGAAGACAAGTTTGGAGCTGGGGGATGATCAGGACTTTGGGGATGGATGGAAGCTGTCCAAAAGTGACTCAAGGCAGGTGGCTATCATGGGCCTAGCTAGCAGTGATCCGTGTGGCGTGGGTGCAGTCATTTCTGAATGTCCGAAAAGGTCGAAGAGGGAATCATACTGGAGACATGATGTGACTGAGTTGAAGTTCTCCAACACTACTGTAAGGGAAGATATTCCTTCTACAGAAGAAAGACTCGATGTATATCACGTAGATGAGCCTGAAGATAACTTGGAACACACCCGCGCTATAATCGAACACATTCGAAAAGAACTCGAACGAGAAGAAGTGGGATACTTTCTCGACAAGGACCTGGAGACCGAAGGTAAGAGGAAGCATTCTGACTAAGTAGACAAACATTTACATTTTTAAGACAGTTTTTGGTGTCGATGAATCCAAACGTTCGACAGTCATCGCAAAATGAAGCCATAATATTCCATCCTCCGCCAGTTCAACCTAGTTCAAATCCTCTCTAAAATGCATAATCCATTTGTGGCATTCACATTTTGGTAAAACAAGTGCAGTTGGTTTTCAGATCAGGTTGTTGTGCACTCTGTATCAAACGTGTTGTATATTCGATGATTCTGAACTTAATTTAATCACATTAACAATACCGCAAGTTACTAAAAATTGTGAATATCCCCGATACGTAATTTTCCAGTTCCTTCGCTGTTTTATCTCTCTGACTTCTAATATTTCCTTCAGATTTCTTTGTCCAGATTCTCCAAACACTGGTTCCTTGCTCCACTGAGGTAGAACTGTAGTTTATGTTCTGATCATTGGCTATCCTGGAAGAAGAGGAAGAAGAAAGGTGCAAATTTCGTTTCCGGAATTTATTGTACGTACAGTTTAATAACGGATCCCATATTTTGTTACTGTCATTCCCGAGTTCTTGACTTGGGACCAGCAATTTTCACGCGCAAATACACGCGCCTACGGTCACAGGCAGGTCGTCAAGTGGCGCCTCCATCCGCGTTCCAGCGAACGCTTTGCAACTGATGCAGGTAGGACGCTACATTACTTTTCTATGGATATAGAAGGATAATAAATAAAGGTAAAGCTATCCCTGTAACGGGCCGTGAAGGACCTTAGAGCTGTGAGGCGTCGAGGCTGCCACATTTTCTCTAGACAATAGGCTCACAGATTGCGGTAAGGTTGTCAGCCTTACGTTACGTTTGAGTACAAACACGAGATAAATGCTTTTGATTTCAATTTAAAAATAATTTAATCAAGACAGTTTCTCAAATGACCATTTCAACAGACATATTCCTTTCAGCAGATAAGCGCAGGCCATTGGAGTTCAGCGTGAACGCGCCTCCCAGGTGGCTGGAGCTCGCCCTTGCGGTTGACCACACAGTGATCAGGTTCCACGGACGAGAGCGAGTGCAGCAGTACATCCTGGCCCTCATGAATATTGTAAGCACCACATTAACGCATACACAACGATACAGTCTAACAATATATGTCTGGCCTCCTGAACGCTGTAAGTACAGAGGCGATCAATGCACCTTCTTTCAAACACCTTATCTTGGCCGCCGTCATGAAAATTTTATGCGTCACGAGGTTGTTTCAGGATCCCCTACATGTCCTGGCTTTCACGAAAAGTGTTAAGTACAATAAAAGGCTATAGAGCAACTTCCAGAAATACTAACACGCCCCCACGAGAACTGGCAAGCCCCAATCAGCTTGTTCGTGCCCTCATGCACAGGGCAAGAACACTGACGGCCTACTGAGTACTGCGTATCACGTCTCAGGAAATTCCTTGAAGCATGTGCTGAATCTCGTGACACTCTTGTGGAAGCCAATACAGCATGTTCCAGAAAAGTGCATGCTTTGACTCTTATGGTATTCGTAATTCAGAGACAAACTTATGTTTCTGTATTGTTTGTAGTTTATGTAATAATGCTACCAATAACTCGCTGGCTGCGGGATGGACGACCGAGGGGTCGGAGTTTCAGTTCCATTAGGGTCAAGAATTTTCTCTTCTCCACGTCGTCCAGACCGATTCTGGGGCCCACCCAGCCTCCTATCCAATGGGTACCGGGGCTCTTTCCCCTGGAACAAAAGCGGCCGGTACGTGAAGCTGTCCATTCACCTCCAACTAGTGCACAGGTCAAGAAAATGTGTGTTTATACATCAACTCCCCCATACGCCTTCAATGCGTAGTGCTTAGTTAATTAAGCACTGGGACAACTTTCTCTTTTACCAGTAACTCAGATTATATAATTTTGAATGATCTAATGGCGATCAATAATGAACTGGATAGGATGCCGAAGGAAGTGGTCGTGGCAGAATTTAAGATACAGTCCAGATATTTGACTGGAGGAACTCTGGAATACCAAGGCATCCTTAAGTCTGGATAGTCAGTTCCCAGCCGGGATTCGAGCCGGGCATCTCACAAATACGAGTCGGAAACTCCACTTGAGCTAACTTACTCAGAAAATAACGCTTCTTTCTTGTCGTCGGGAGGCGGCAGGCAGTCAGCCCGGTCAGCCCTATGCAAGGCAACACATCGCGTTCCACAACACTAGAGGTATGCTCTGAGTTACGTCATAAACTATCTTTCCTTGCATATCGTTAAATTTATACTATTCAATAGAGTGGGATAGGTTAGGTGGGAGAGACCGGAACTGTAACAATCAGTTTCGATTTCACATTCGAACAGCAGTCAATTAAGTCTTCATTCTGAATGGAGTTTGTTAATTTAGTTCTTATTAATCACTTTGTTTATAAAATGTGTTTCTATGTAGCTACCGACTCAGTACCGCATGGGTTCTGCAACTGCGTGACATATAATCTACATTTCCACAGAAAACGGCTCAAAAGGTTTTAATTAAATCCCAGTAACTTGTAGAAACTATTTTCACAAATAAAACAACATAGGCGGTATCTTCAGGAGAATAACGGTAGGCGCACTAGGGGCCGAAACGCAAAATGTCGGTTTTCTCGAAAACGACTTCACCGGTCGGAAGGACTTCATTGTTATTCGGCAATTAACACGCAACAACGATCTATAAAGCAACAAATGGTTTCGTTTTCAAGGTAACGTAGTCAAGGTCAGTCATGTATGAAACAGTATATACACAGTGGTTTTGCGAGAAGTTCTTCATCAAAAGGAAGATAGTCATGAAATGCCTTGCGAAGCATGGACAGGAGAGATGTATATAGTGCACAAGGAAGAAATTTTCAGTAACATGCTGTATGTGTGATACGTACACTTGACGAAAGGCCAAGCAAATTCATAAGTGACAAACCTATCTGCTCATTAAGAGAGGGCTATGACCGCAAGGGTTCAGTTTAAAAAAAAAAAAAAGGTCTCTGGTCGTGATTCTTAAAGGGTCTGACGCCACGACAGACTGACTGGCGCTAAACCGCCAGTCGTAAAGTGACTTTGAATTTGAGGTTTTTCATTCCGAATCACCGCTTTTATCGGACTGACGGCTTCCCGGGAAGAAAAGACATTCCCCATAACCATGTCGACCTATGCTATATGTGCGATACGTACACCTAACAAAGGCGAAGCCTATTCATAAGAGACAAACCCATCCTGTCATCAGAGAGAAAGTTACATGAGGGCTATGACATAAAGTGTTCAGTTGCAAAAAAAATCTGATCGTGATCCTCATGGAGCTTGGCGTCAAGACGAACTGATTGGCGGTAAACCGCCAGTCCTAAAGTAAGTCTAACTCTGGCCGCGCCATAGCTCCAGCGGTTAGTTGCTGACTTCCCGTCGCGGCGGCCCGGGTTCGATCCCGGGTCTGATCAAGTGGGATTTGTGATGGACAAAGTGGCGCTGGGGCGGGTTTTTTCCGAATACTTATGGTTCCCCTGCCAATCTTCATTCCACCAAATTCTCCATCATCGTAATCACCCGGGGCAGGCTACAATAGGCCATTCAGTGGCCGCCGTGCCGAGTGGACCCAGTTGGACTCCACCCTCGACTAAGCGAATTAGAAAAACAAAACAAAAAACATCTGAATCTGGTAAAGGTAAAGTTGTCCCTGTGCTCAACGAATTAAGCACTACGCCATGAAGGCGTATGGGGTAGTGGATGTGTAGATCCATATTTATTTATTTATTTATTTGACGACGCTGTCACTGCCAGGTCACATAGTGTGTAATTACATTTAGGGGACTGGCGTATAATGAATTGAAATAGGTGCATACTGAAGCGGCGATGACCCAATCGAGACATTATCCCGGCATTTGCGAGCGGGAACTGAAGAAAACAACAAAATATCTCAGGATAGCCGGTGTACCGGCCGAATTCGAACCGAGCACGGTCCGGTTACAAGTCCAGAGCGTTACCGCTACACCAGCCTCGTCGGTGAGAAAATTTTCTATATGATGTCCAAGTACAGGTCTATAAAACAAAATATAAGAAAAATAATACCTCCTCTGGTGATCATAGTAGACGGTAATATATGACTTTCCAGACTGCTATGGTATGTATATAGATAAGCACACGTATATGTCAGGTATATATACTCTCGACGCTTTATGCTCCCCTAGAGATTTATCTTTTTATGCTTTCCATACCTCTGCACAGAACTTCTTAATATGAAAGTTATTAATGCCGTGCAGTGTGATTGATAAAAGTTGTGTTTTTTAATCTTTCATCCTTTACAAATTTCGGTCGGAGCGACCATTTACAGAAGGGCATTATCAATAAATACGGAAACCATTATTACAGTGTCATAGATATAAAGCATTATATTCTTTAACAATTACTAAGATGTGCACTAATTTGCTAAAATATTTCTAAATTATTAAAATTTGTAAAGTGTACTTTTGGTTTATTTTGGACTTCATGCATCGTCTGGTATGTAAAAGACAAAAGACCACGACGTTTCTGAGACTGGATCTGTCTCCGTCTTCGGGTGGGTGGGGAAGGACCAGTGATTGAGACTAGCTCTTTCTAACGGGCCCAACTGAGTAGGTTTATCCTTCCCTACCCACCCGAAGACGGAGACAGATCCAGTCTCCGAAACGTCGTGATCTTTTGTCTTTTACATACCAGACGATGGCTGAAGTCCAAAATAAGCCAAAAGAAGTACACACCATCGTCAGAATCCTTTCAAGTCTATCTATAATTAGTATGTTTAATATGTAATATTTAAAAAATGTTTTTTTAATCTAGAACCAACTTGGTTTGCGTCTTCATATTTCTCCTTAAAGGAAGATGTGTTCCACGTCGTGGTTCCGTTGCTTGAAGAACAGGACCCTTTAGTGTCGTTGTGCAGTTGTTCAGGCCACTCAGCGATGTTAACGGACCAGGATGAACCAAGTCAAAAAGAACTTAAATTATCGCTATATTCCTAGATACTTTAGGAACCACCATCGCTCCACACTCTGTGCACGTCTACTGCGCAAATTTTGTGCGTCCCTGGAACCACCAGGAGCTATCAATTTCGTAGCTTCCAAAATTTGCTGCCGCCCCTAATAATAAACCCACATCACGTTCCTGTAAGCTTCTGAGCCGTCGGGCAGGGTCTAATGTGAGCACTCAACCAAATCAGCAAATCTCTGCTTTTGGGCTTACAGCCGAGTTTCCAGTCTTCAGTTCATACGTCCCTTGCACGAAGTACGTGTGAGAGAGCCCTGTGTATCAGTCCGGCTGTCCATCCACATGTTTCATCTGCGAAACCACTCAGTGCACTTCGGTTCAAGTAGTGAAACTAATTTATATTAATCCTTATAAATGTTACATTGAAAGGAACTCAAATCGAACTTCAGTCAAGAATAAATGTTCGTACGGAAACTGTTTTGTGTCTATAGCTTCGGTGTGTGACACACGTAATGTAAATGGTATAGGAATCATATTCAAATAAATACAATAAATAAACATGTATGGGTCATCAGCGTAACCGCCACATAAGCTAACATTAAAAACATTTATGCTTTTAATTTTTTATTACTAACTTCATGTTTCTGCCTTAAATGGCTAATATCCGGACACATGCGCAAAATAGTCAAATCTGTTGTGGCATATTTGCTCAAGGCAAGAATTGTGAAGCCAGCAAAGACAGCCGTCGCAAACAAGCATGTTTCCACAGCAACAACTGGATACAATAATGGAAATAATGGTGTTTCCTACGCGGTCCGTGCCGAGATGTTATAAGCAGGACAAGTCTATAGTCATATATCCCGTGTGGAGGCGGGATCGAATACCTCCACCGTAGCCCTGCCAGTCGTAAGAGGGGACAAAAAGTAAGTATCGAATCTGAGACAGTAAAATATGGTTGCGAGTCCCACGGGACTCGGAGCCGAGAATGTTTGCGCTGGCGAGGGCCAGCAGCAATTGTAAACGACAGACCAGTCCTTTCGTCAGACAGAGCGCCCTACATCAACAAACCCGCAACTGTCAGATATTAATAAAATCTGGTCGTAAGCCCCAGATGGGTGCTTTATTCCAAGACAGACCGGCCGACCGACCGACCGTCGGTTGTAACATAAGACTCCTCAAGATTGAGTTAAGTTGAGTTGAGTTGAGTTGAGTTAGTTGGTGAGTGACTGAGTTAGTTAGTGAGATAACTGATGAGGTTCAATCGTTGTAAGCTATTGCTGCGAGAAGATGTTAGCTTGGGCCGATGATAGTTCGGGAACCTTGAGGAAGGGAAATGTCCACCGTTGGAAGCTGCTACCGAGCAGCGGCTAGTGAAGACGTGACTATGGACACTAGTGTGTTTGTGTAATTCATTCATTCATCAGTAATCTGTCAGACGACAGGTCCACAGCCTCTTCCAAAACAGTTTCTCCACTTAATGCGATCTTCTGTTTTTGGAAAGAGACTATCCAGGAAAAGTGATAATGTGGTAGTTTTTCCATTTGCTTTCCACATCGCAGTACAACAGCCGTTCAAACCACTCTGGTCACGCCTGTTGCTATACGAACTTGAACCATCTCGAGCATCATTTTCTCTGTGCTTCAAGTCGCCGCTGATGACGCTGCTTCCGGCATCAGTTTTCGGTGTCTCTCTTCGTCTGATGCCTACCCTTTGACCTGTCCAGCAAGGGAGGCCCTGCCAGTAGCTACGCTACCGCTGGTATAGCTCTCAGGGTCCTTGGCATACTCAAACACCCTCACCACGATAAGGTGGAGACACCAACGAGGGGTTTGTGTAATAGTGAACTGTAAAATGTAGTCACGCGATGTATCAAAGAGTCCAGTAAATTCGATCATCAATCCAAAACCCGTCTAGAGTCACTCATACATGTGAGTGAGTGACTACATATGGAGTTTGGATTGGTAATTGGATTTACTGAAAACTTACATATCATAACTACAAGAAACTATAGCACTATCGCTCATTCACACACTCAGCAGTTCTCTATAGCACGTGCTAAGTATTCGTAGTCTCCTGTGTCTTCACCAGTCGTTGCCTGGTAACGGGTTTCAAAGTCGTAGCTTCCTCAACTGGCGCAGCCCCTTCCGGGACCCAAACCCCGGTCATCAAGCCCGTAGACCGTCGCTATACCGACTGAGCTATCCAGGCTCCCCACAGTCTTCTTAAATCCCTTGGAGAAAAGCAATCCTTCCAACTGATATAACGTCGTTCAGTAATTTACTATCTTTCCTGAAGGTACAGTGGTAGGAGTTTGAAGATGACCAGTCACTAAGTCCAGTACCGAGGATACAAGTGCGTGGATGTTTATTCATTGTCCATTGTGTGCTTCAGTAACTTAGTACTTATAAGAATAATTTCATCTGACATCTCACTGATGTTGTGCAACTGGTGTGGTGACACGGTATTTATGTATTCTAAGAATAAATATAAGTTGCCATTTTTGTTGTGTTTGCAGGTCAGCGCCATCTACAAAGACCCATCCTTGGACTCAAACCTGAGACTGGTTATAGTTCGGATGATTTTTTTCGAAGAAGAGCAAGACGGCCAGGTACATGCACTCCATAATCATGTGTTTAAATTCATTAACTCATTCTCGCCAAGAATTAACTGGCCAGTGGTTACTCCCGTGGGATATAAGCCTAAGGCTTGCCATTCTGTCCCTGCTCTGTTGTGACATAGAAGTCTTTGTTACCCATAGGACCGCCAGATGGCAATGAGAGATGTCTGTAATTCAGCTGTCATTGTAGTCTCGAATTTTATCGGAACTAATTTCCATTGATTACATGCATATTCTGAGAATTCGTGATTTAATGCAAGCCTAGAGCGAATAACTGAGCGGGTTATCTGTGGAAGCTGTTGTCAGAGATGGGATCTGTTTTCTTCAAAGATCCCGTCCATTTATTGCATTTTAAATCATTCAGAATAATGTGCATTTTGTATCAATAGACGGGAAGATTAGAACTGTACACGGGAAAACTGGAATGTATGATAGTAATATCCAAATGAAAGCTATTGATATGTAAATTGTATGCTAGTGGTGAGTTCATATCTAAAGGCCAAATCACTCACTCACCTGCCGCTAGAGTCGAGGAAGTTGTGACTGAAAGACAAGTATTTCTGCTTTATGGGTGAACTAAAAATGACCATTATGATGCTTTATTGTCAGAATAGAAAGAGAGCTTAGTTATTATTCTCGAAGTTTATTTTTACAGAAAACCTTTGCAGAGAACGTTTCCTCTAGATAGCAGCACCGCTTTTGCAATGCAATACAATTTATCATTTTGGAAAGATTAACGTCTTAGTATATGCAGCTGTCTTTTGAGAATCTTTCAAGTTATTGAGGTTGTGTTATTAAGAATTTCTATTTGAAATGTTAATGGATTTTATGGAGTTGGGAATAATCCTTGAATTTTAGGATGTTTTTTCTCAGTTAGGGTATTAGAATTTCAAGTATGCTACAAAGCGTACCACACTTGGGCGATTAGCCGCCGGATTGTATACGAAGAGACATAGATTCAATCAGAATAATCCATGAAGAATTTGTGGTCGGCAAAATGGAACTGGGTGTAGGATTTTCTCGTAGTACATCAGTTTTCCCAGTTAAGTGATCATTCAAACACTTTCCATACTCATCCAACACCCACATCATCAGAAACTAATTCAGAGGTCCACATGAGGCCGCAGTGCTCTAAATTATTCTAATGCTACTACAACTGCTGGTGACGTTGCTACTACCACTACTACTATCAATAATACTACCATTTCTACTACTTCTATTCCGTTGTCAATAACTTGTCTTATATTTAACTATGTTCGAATGTAAGTATCAGACAATGAACATGTATGGGAGACTCGCAGGTTAACCTATTCCCTGCCTTGCTCTCAGGGAAAGGGTGCCCGGTACCCATTACATATGAGGCTGGGTGGGCCCAAGATATTCTGCTGTTGCTTGCTACCTCTTCATGCATGGATTATATTATATATTGGACCTTCATGCAGTCGAAAAAATAATTATTCTGTTGAAGACGAGAAAATTTCTCCAAATGGATATTTGCACGTAAATTATAATTTTGTTGTTCTTTTTCCGAATTCGGTTTATATATGCATACAATCTACCATTAAATGAACAGAGAACATAATAAATGCATTATATTGCGTTTATAATTATGTACGTACAGGATTCTTCGTCAGTATATGGGTTGAAACAGTTTTGTAACTCAGGCGATAATATTATATTCGGCAGGGCATGTTTTTGAACAAATACTGATAAGTAAAGAGCGCTGGAGTTACACTACTTTTGTTTTCTATCTTGTACATATATTTAAACTCCTTAGTATATTTTATCCACGTCCGGAATATTTTTCTCAAAGTGTCTCCTAGGCCCTGCCATAAAATCTATCTGATTCAGAGAGTCGTTCCTATAAGAGAACATTTTTTTTTTAGCATTGTTGTCGCTCCCACGCCCTGCCCCATTTCCGAGGACAATAACTTGTCTGCTGTTTGTGACTCTGTGTTCGTAGCTACTCTCCATATCTGGAGGCATCCTCCCGCTAATCGATACTCCCCCCACCCTCAAATATCAGTCTACTTCCAGCATTTCTTAATGTAGCAGTATGTAAGAGTGTTGTAAGCCCTTTGCCAAATGTTCAACATGTAAACTCCTTACAGATATTTTATCACTTCATTCGCAGCTGCTTTTCTTCCGAACATTTCCTTTTCGATTCTTGGCTAGAATATGACCAGTCTGACTGAGAGTTCTCTTAGTTTCACTCAGCCTTTCCAAGTAAATACTGGGCCAGTAATGTAACATTGGCCAAGGCCGCTTCCTTTAGTGCTTTATCTTAATTCATAGACATCTTATTGGTGGCATTTTTTAATCAAAGCAGTGAATAAAGCTATTAAGGTCGCTGAATAATTCTGTTCGCAGCTGTTCTCCATAACTGGAGACTGTCTTATCAGTGCAACTTCACTGAAGGCATCACACAGAGTAGGAGGAACCATAGGCGAGCAAACAGACCTGCAAGAGCATAGGAGAGCGAAGGCCGCGGCATAGCTCAAGCGGTTAATCGCTGGTTTCCCAATGCGGCGGTCCGGATTCGATTCCGGGTCTGGTCAAGTAAGATTTGTGGTGGACAAAGTGGCGCTGGGGCAGGTTTTCTCCGAATACTTCGGTTTCCCCTGCCAATCTTCATTCCACCAATTTCTCATCTTTCATCTGGGGCTGGTACAATACACCAGAAGTGGCAGCAGTACAAGGGACTTAGTCCCACCCCACTAGCAATAAAAAATAATGGGAGAGCGAACATGACCGCAAGCTCACACATCCCGTATCATGTGCGCAACACTGTGCTCCTTCTTCCAGGTGGTTGACGGAAACTCGAAGCGTTCGCTCGAGAATGTGAACCGTTGGAACGAGCAGCTCGGGGGACAGCACGATGTAGCCGTGTGGCTGACACGCGCTGATATAGGGGGACCCTCGGGATACGCCCCAGTGTCGGGAGCATGTGACCCGACAAGAAGCTGCACCCTCAACAGAGACGAGGGACTGACCAGCGCTTTCATCATTGCTCACGAGGTGGCTCACGTGTAAGTGAGGTTTCGTACTTCTTAGATAGAACGCTTAGGGAAGAAGTTAACTAACTGACCGATGTTTTAAATTTCCCTCTGATAACAGGACCCAAAGCTTCTTTACCTCTAGCATCAAAGAAAAGCTCCTACGTCACCTCAGTCCACTTCACAACACTACAGTTTCAGCTATTGGAGCCCTAGTAACAATATCGGGCATAATCAAATGATTCCATCAATACAACCAGGAACTACTAACAATAGGGGGGCTAATCATAATCTTAACCATAATTCAATGATGGCGAGACATCGTACAAGAGGGAACATACCAAGGCCTACACACCAAGAAAGTAACCAAAGGGTTACGATGAGGCATAATCCAATATATCATCTCAGACATATTTTTCTTCATCTCATCCTTCTGGGCATTTTTCCACAGAAGACTGTCGCCCACCATCGAACTAGGATCAACTTGGCCGCCTACTGGAGTCTTACCATTCAGCCCATTACAAATCCCTCTACTAAACACAGCAAACCTTCACGCATCAGGAGTAACAGTTACATGGGCTCACCGCGGGTTTCTAGAAAACAACTACGCACAAAGAATACAAGGGCTATTCTTCACAGTAATCCTAGGGATTTATTTTACAATCCTCCAAGCATACGAATACGTAGAGGCGTCCTTCACAATCGCAGACTCAAGCTATGGGTCCACCTTCGGACCCAGGACCCAAAGTTTCTCTACCTCTAGTATCAAAGAAAAGCTCCTACGTCACCTCAGTCCACTTCACAATACTACAGTTTCAGTAGTACATGATACATGTATAGCTTCGATAATGAGAGCGTCAATGAATAAGAAACGTAACAAATAGAGGAATAAAACCACCACAACTCACAACCCTAAGCACCATTTCAATAAGAGGTCGTGCTTTCATTTCTTCTTTCTCCACTCGAACTACTCATCCAATCCACCATTATCCAGAGGGTTATCATGAGAAGACCATTTCCAGCTTCTTACTTTTTCCTTGTATTTGCGTGTGAACTCCAGATTGGGTTTGACACACGACGGCGACCAGGCAGCTGGCAACGACTGCATTCAAGATGCACTAGACGGAAGTGTCATGGCGCCCATGGTGTCGGCCACGTTCCATCGCTTCAGCTGGTCCATTTGCTCCAAGAAAGAGTTCCACACCAAAGCTGCGTAAGTTGCTCCGAAAGTAATGTGTCGGAATAAATTCAACTCTCAGACCCTGATGTTCAAAGTTGTCGTCGTCATCATCAACATGATCATCATGTAATTGGTCGGTAGGCAGTGCTGTGATCGTAAAGAAGCAGAGATACCGTATGCGAAAGTACAACTCTGAGAAAATGAAGGGCAGATGTTCTCCATTTTCTTCAGAGAAAATTACACGCATGCAATGTTACGAGTTACAGTTTAGTGATGTATATAAATTTAAAAAGTAATCAGTATAATATATGAAGAAAAATAAAACTATCATTTAAGAGGACAGGACCCAATAGCGTAGTCGGTATGGCGACTGGCTACGGGCTGGATGACTGAGGGGTCGAAGTTCGAGTCCCGGTAGGGTAGAGAATTTTCTCTTCTCCAAATCATCCCCACCGGCCTTGGAGTCCACCCAACCTGCTATCCAGTGGGTACCAGGGGCTCTTTCCTCGGGGGTAAAGAGGCCGGGGCGTGAAGCTAAACCACTCTCCTCCGACTAGTGCCGAAATCAAGAAAATGTGGATTTATACACCCACTCCCACATACGCCTTCATGGCGTAGTGCTTAAATTCGTTGGGCACAGAGACAACTTTACATTTTACCTTTAACTGTCTGTGGAGAACCATAGGGTTGTGAGACTTCGACACTCGCAAATTTATCTAGACAGTCGGTTCACAGATGGCGGTGAGGTTGTCAGCTTTACTCATTTCTGTTAGAGGCTCAGTCTACCCAGGGCCTTAGTGCGGCTGGAAGGATTGGGTAATTTGAAACATCTAATGACCTCACCGGGAATCGAACCTGCAACCTTCCGGCTTGTAGCATAGTGCCTCAACCAGCTACGCTACCGTGTGCCCTATACCAAAAATATTACTGTGCATAATTTCACAGTCAGTTAGTACGCTAACGTGTTTGTTTATTATGTCTGGCGAGGTAGGATTTGTAAAATGGAACCCTTTTGTATTTTCACTTCAGACGCGACGTTTGTGCTGCATTTGAATAAGCAGAGCATATGAAATTATCGCGGGAGCTACATTTCAGTATCAGTAGATTCGTACTAAGCCGGTCACGGTAGCCGAGCGGTCTAAGGCATGTACTGTCTTCGCTCGCTTGGAAACCGGGATCGTGGGTTCGAATCCCACTCAGAGCATGGATGTTTAGTTTGTGTGTGTGCGTTTTTCTGTGTTTGTGTACAGGTAGAGGCCTTGCGACGAGCTGATCACCCGCCAAGGAGTCCTACCGAATGTGTAAGATCTAGAAAAACCGAAGTGAACGGAGAAGTTCATGGAGGTAGGCCTAGGCCCACTGGGGCTGTAGTGCCAAGGGGAAAAAGAAGACTCGTACTTAGGCATGACAGATCCACAACTCTGTCCTACCATGGGCCTTCAGCGGTGCCATTCCCCTCAGTATATCACCGATTTGACCTTTTTTCTGATTTCTGCTATGTTGGCAGGCAGTGGCCATGTCTTAGGAACCAGCCCAAGACAGGAAATGCAACGCATCTTAAATCGACGCTGCAGGCAACTTTTTCGATGGACGAACAGTGCCGCATGGAATTTGGGGATGGGTAAGTTTTTGGTATGTAACCTTCAAGATGTAGGATAATACCAATTGAAATTCGGTAATTACTTAATTACTTCGCCGCGCCGTAGCTCAAGCGGTTAGTCGCTGGTTTCCCACCGCAGTGGCGCGGGATTGACCCCGGGTCTGGTCAAGTGGGATTTGTGGTGGACAAATTGGAGCTGGGGCAGGTTTTCTCCAAGTACTTCGGTTTCCCCTGCCAGTCTTCATTCCACCAATTGCTCCGCAATCACCCTCACCTATCATCTGGGGCTGGTACAATAGGCCAGAAGTGGCAGTACAAGGGACTTAGTCTTACCCCACTAGCAATAAAAAAAATAATTACTTACTTAAGGAGCTGAGCCCTTCTTGAGGAGAAGCCAAATCTGCAGCTACTCAAGAATTTCCCAGCATTTTATGGAACCCGAAGGTTTATTACCGTGTTCACAAGAGCCCTCCACTGGTCCCTATCCTGAGCTCAATCAAATCCATACCATCCCATCCTCCCTCTCTAAGATCCATTTTAATATTTTGTATCCACCTACGCCTTCGTCTTCCCAGTGGTCTATTTCCTTCTGGCTTTCCCACCAATATCCTATATGCATTCCTCGTCTCCACATTCGTGCTACATGCCCTGCTCATCTCATTCTTCTTGACTTGATCATTCTAATTATACTTGGAAAAGAGTACAACTTATGAAGCTCCTCATTATGAAGTTTTCTCCAACCTCCTGTCACTTCATATCTCTTCGGTCCAAATATTCTCCTCAATACCCTGTTCTCAAACACCCTCAGTCTATGTTCCTCCCTTAATGTCAGAGACTAAGTTTCACACCCATACAGAACCACAGGCAAAATTATAGTTTTGTATATTCTAATTTTTATGTTTTTGGACAGCAGACGAAAAGACAAAAAAGGTTCTGGACAGAAGGGTAGCAAGCATTACCCGAGTTCAATCTCCACTTAGTTTCCTCCTCAATCAGGTTTTGATTTATTATCGTTGTTCTCAAATATCTGAACTGTGCCACATTTTCAAAACATCTGTTTCCTGTCTTTATGTCATGATTTTGCCCTGCATTTTGGTCACGAGACAGCAACATATACTTAGTTTTCTCAGTGTTTACTTCTACACCAAACTCTTTACTTGCGTCAATTAAAGTTAGTGTTTTTTTTCTTTGTGGTATCTATATTATCACCACTACAAGGGAAAATATGGCGCCCATCTTTATGTACACACATTGATTGAGTCTATACCGTCACGTAACTTTTAGTGACTATAGACGGGGTTTGGATCGGTAATCGGATTTATTGTACTCTTACAGATCCGTGACTACAAGTAATTGTAACCGTTTCACTAAATCACACACTTTACAGCTCGCTAGAACACACACTTAAATCTTTTCAGTCGGCTGTGTCTTCACCAGTTTTCTGGTAACGGCTTCCAACGACGGAAGTTCCCCTTCCTCTGTGTTTCCGAACTATTTCCTGAACTCAGCTACCAGCTTTCAACGGCAACAGCTCACAACGCCTAAACCCCAGCATTTCCCTCTCACTAACCCACCAACCAATTCACACAAATCAAATTCTAGCTTTTAACTTGTCCTGCTTATAACATGTTGGCACGGACCATGCAGAAAACCGCTTTCCGTTGTTGTTGTATCATCTTATTGCCGCGGAATTGTTGTTTGTTAGCAGAGCCGTTACCTAGCAACGGCTGTTGTATAGTTGTTTATTTGACGGTCGTTGCCTAGCAGCGGGTCTACATGCCACAATACAGATCGCAAAGGATGGAATGACTTCCAGTGTTGTTACGAAATTCGTCCGTGATTATATATGTCTGAGATCTGTCTACAGAACCTGTACGTTGGGTAAGGCGGTGTTAAGTATTGTGCAAAAAGCTCGAGCAAGGTTAGGTTGGTGCCCAGTGTCAGAACTGTTACTCGTGTTGTGTTCACGGCAGGTAGGCCTACATAAATACTCTGAAATATATCATCGATAGCCACTGAATAGCCATGTAATATCAGTCTCACTGCATACGCCTTCGTATCTTGCTCGAATTCTAAAAAACTGCTAGGTCTACATTTACATCCTGAAAACAAATAACCAAAATATGGAACTTAATGGATACCAAAATGAGCCAGAATGCAGAAGAAAAGTCGAAAGCCTCATACTGTTCCAGATGCTGTAAGATGTAGATAATGATTTACTAGAGCTGAAAGTGAAGAGATGGAGGCCAAAGGTAAAGAAGACAGAAGAACGTCTATCTGTTTTGAAGCAAACCAAGGTTCTTGCACACATTTAAAGCTAACCGATAAATAAGAATTTGATATGTGGAAGATCGACAAGTAAAGTGGTTACAATAAACATATCAAGCGAGTGAAGGTAAATACGTGTATATAAAAGAAAAACTTGAAAATTCGATAGGGAAATCCAAGGAATAAGTTGTGAATGTTTGCGACGATGGTATGTTAGTACAAATAATATTTTATGGACATTATCCATCGCCCTGCTTTTATCTAGAACACGGTCCTGTTTATACTGTGTTTCAAAACACACCTTCTAGGAGACTGGGTTCTGTCTCCGTCTTCAGGTAATGCGTACTCAGTTGGGCTCAGCTCGGTCAATTGGGCACAACTGAGTAAATCCAAGGAAGTTATGAACTCAAACAAGAAAGAAGAAAGAGACGAAAAAAATAAATTACAGAAAATTTTACGCCAGTCATTGTCCCGACAGAGAATAGAAACGGATACTTCCCGAGTAGGCTACAAGTCAGACATTACCACTTAGGTAACCTGGTACTTATGGCTAAGGTGGGCATGTTTCCTAGTCACGGTAAATTGAAATGAGACCAATCTGTAAGTTCCACTCCACCTACCCATTTGTTATTACAGGTATTCACTGTGTCGGACGCTGAACCTTCCCGATCCATGCTCGCACCTGTGGTGTGGCCATGTCTCGGCGCCCCTAGTGTGCAAGACAAAGAAGGGCCCACCACTGGAAGGGACCGAGTGCGGAGTGAACCACTGGTGTGTGGGCGGATACTGCGTACAAGTAGATGGCCGCAGGTACAACGTCATGCCATGTTCATATTACGCGAGATATGCCAGCCAGTAACTGGTTTCTAACAGTTTTCCATTTAACATCAGCTTGAAACTGAAACATGACTAAGAATGCACTTCCGAACACTCGTATATGGCACAGGCCATGGGATCTCAACCTAGCAGATCTTTATGGGGCGTTGCTACAGTTTCAAGAAGCGTTTAAACAGACATGTATCTACACACAGTTTGGGTAAGTAGGTAAGTCAATAAGAATTAACAAAAATGGTTTCGGAAAATGTAACACCAGGCCGGAGAAACATTTCGCGATACTGTAGGTGTAGAGACCGGTCTGGAAAACCGAAATTAACCGCCGTGGGGATTCGTTGCGCTGACCACGTAACACCCTCTGTCCGCTAAAGTTGGCAATAACTTCGCTGAAAGGGCCGCGCCATAGCTCAAGCGGTTAGTCGCTGGCTTCCCACCGCGGCGGCCCGGGTTCGATCCCGGGTCTGCTCAAGTGGGGTTTGTGGTGGACAAAGTAGCGCTGGGGTGGGTTTTCTCCGAGTACTTCGGTTTCCCCTGCCAATCTTCATTCCACCAAATTCTCCATCATAATCACCCGGGGCAGGTACAATAGGCCAATCAGTGGCCGAGGTGCCAAATGGACCCGGTTGGACTCCACCACCCACTAACCGAATTAAAAAAAAACTTAGCCGACAAGCGGCGGTCGCTCGGTCGGCATAGTTCTCTTTTCGACTAAAGCCACGGAGTTTTTTTTTTGTAGATATAGAGACGTGCAAAAGGTAGCTGAAGTTCCTGCTGCCACCGAACAGGCTGACAGGGTGCTACTTCAGTGTGCAGAACCGCACTTTCTACAGGCCGGCAGATTGTAGGGGGAGGGGGAAACTTATTTTATTTTAGGCAATCGAGGTACCACAGGTTTACGACCCCTGACACAGGCACAAGTTAACAGATTAATACAGTTGGAAGTTTCAGCACTGCTAATACACAAGCCTGTCGACACATATCCCGAGAAGACGCAATCAAACACACAGCCGCCACCAATTTCCCTAATACTCATTTTAATATTATCCTCTCATCTCAGTTTCGGTCTTAAAAATGGACGCTTTCCAAAGGGTCTCTTCTTCTGCATATTACCCAATAATATTATTGTCGAACCGACATGAACAATGTGGCATTAGTATTCCAGTGTTTCCTTTAGCGGGATAATACAAGTTCTCAAGTACAGGAAAGACTCCAAGTTAATCGCAACGACATTCCGGAGCAGACCTCTCTAATGTTATCGTGAATATTAAGTGGTAGATTTAGTCTTATGGGAAGGAATCAAATTCCACAAGTAACACAATTTAACATAAATAGAGCAATAATACATACTGAACCACTCAAACTTTCTGTAACTTCAGTAGTTCAATTCGCAGTCCCATTTCGAACGTGTTAATGTTCGGCCACACAGAGCGCTACGTACGCTATGTTAGCTGCGTCGCAGAGTGTGCACAGCGTACGTAGCATACGTAGCGAACATAGCATAGCGATCTGTGTGGCCGAACCTTTACGGTACTTCCAATACGTTGAACACAACTTGCCAATCGTTGCTTTTAGTCCTTATCAAAGTGCGCTAGTAGTTCAGGAAATGAAAGAGGTAGAAACTGACTTTAAGATGTGTATATGACAGCCAGCATCATGTTACGATATTTTTCTATCCAGGTTTGGTTTCGACCCTGTGACGCATAATCCCAGGGACGGAGGCTGGTCAGAATGGTCGGGCTGGACTTCGTGCTCCAGAACGTGCGGCTTTGGCGTTACTTTCAGGAGTAGGACCTGTGACAATCCGAGGTAAGGAGCTGCAAGACCCTTTTTGTGACTTCACCTCTTTAGATTTGGCAGGAGTTTCCTGTCACCAAGAACTGAGACCATTAAATGTGTGTGTCCAAGCACTGTTTCTCCTGTTTGATGAAAGTCGTGATCTGTATTGGGAATCTACAATTGTTCATTAGATGGATGAAACCAGTTAATTTGAGCTCTACGTTAGCGATGGTTACCACTGGGGTTCTGTCACTAGAGAGTTACTTCCCTTCTCCCAAACAAATTTTGATATAGAACTTTAAAATAAAAAATCCGGCAGCTATAACTTGGTGTGACGATTCAGTTATGCTTGCAGATGCGTATTCTGCCTCCCGCGGACATTATAAATATTTCTATCAGCAGTATGTGTACAAATTTGGTACAAAATATCCTTTCATCCTACATGAAATCCTAGATGCATTATTTTTAACACCCTTGTGACAGAAATATATATTTGGCCAAGTGATATCTATGAAACCGAGAAAGCTGGCTTAGCGGATACCGTTTCTGGCTTGTATTCGAGATGTAGCAATTATCCTGACTGAGGATTTTCCTGGTTTTCATCAGCCCCTCTGTATGACTCTCAGGATGGTAAATTGAAATATCTCATAGCTGCTATGTACCACGTCTGTTCCCTCATCCTACGACCTCGGCGCTCTACATTCAAACCTATTGTCAGCGCTGCTAAATAAACCGTGAAATTACAAAACAGTGTCTATGAAGAATGAGTATAGACAGGTCGTAACAATGATAATAAGATTTATGTTCTTAAATCTCCTCAGCCAGTGCATAAGGGATAGACTTTCGGGTTTGAGCCTCTTTGGGAGGACGTCAATAGAAGACATGACTCAGACTCAGAAGCCGATCTCACAGGACTGCGCTACATAAAATGTAAATAACAAGAGACGGCTCAACTTCGTAACAAAATGAGACGAAGATATGGATAATTTCGGAATAAATCGCCGTCCTTACAATTTCTGTGCTGCCTGTGACCGCTCATAATTATGAGCCAGAAGCAACTGCCCCATAAAAATGGTGGCGAAGAATTGCATTGTGTCAGTTCAAACAAGAAACGTGATGGTATTACAGTAATGGAAAATAGTTTTCATTTTTGAGATTCCTGGTTGAAATCCTGGCGGGTGAACAGTTATCCCGAGTAAGGCCTTTTTCTTTTCCTTTTTCTACTTTAACAAATCCCAGGACAGTTTCTTTAATAAACCACAACCGCTTTCCCCCACATCCATCTCACTCTCCTCTGACAATATTAGTATGCACCATATTTCACTCTAAGCTATAACCTCAAGAGCGTTATACAGTAGCCGAAGAAACAACCAATAATTTCAGTGACACTAGCTCCAATTACGAGCGGTCGCTGTTTGTGAGCTTCCTCTTAGTTATAAATACTATTTTTACAAGAAATAGATGTCTCTTTCAAATGATTGCTCGTTCAAGCACAATAAGCCTGTCTACATTAATTTAAAATGCAGGAAGTATATGTCTAATTTTGGTTCACTTCAACTTATTTAATGTTAATGAAACAAGAACATCTGAAAAGAGTTTACATCGCCTGTTTTCCTTGGAATACTTCTCTTCATACTGAGATTAGTCTCGACAATAAATTAATAATTAATTATTCAGATCAGTTATCCATTTCTGTCAGTAATGTTCACTGGCATATATTTTGACGTTTAAAATCCCGTACATTATTCTCCGTGAACATTTACTGCTCCCTTTAATCATTTCTTAAGATGTGATTGATTTATTGGCGAGTTACATGTTCTTTGCATCCGGACGGAAGACAACTGCCTTGTCTCACATTCGTTTGGAGTAACCAGAAGTGGGACAGTGTCACCGCGGGGGGCAAATCAATAATTTTCTGGAGACGTGAATTCGTGGTCCTTTTTTGACACGTATAACTGTAACAATTTATCTTCGGAAGGGTACAGCTAAACCCTCTGGTATTAGGAGATATCTGCTTCCATGTGTGGGGTCCGAGTTCTGTCTCTGGGAATTGCTTTCTACTCAAGAGTCAATATGTGATTGGCTTATGCTGATTGCATTATGACTTTCGCGAGTTAAAATCAGCCAAGATGAATTCTTGTCTGGTAGAGGGAAATCTTTAATTCGGATCCTTCTGGAGGATTAAACAACCCTCCCGCAAGCTACTTGTCTTCACTTCATACTTTCAACTCGTCCCAGTCGGACAATTTTTCTATGTTACTTATCTAAATTAACCCTAAAACTGATGTTGGAAATTATTAAAAATTTGTTACGCATTGCTTGCGCTGAAACTTGTAATGCATCCGCCAATTAAACAATCTGTCAAACAAAAGAACGTGTTTTTATTTCAATGGTGGAATAACTTCAAAAGTGCAGTTACCGGTTGCCTATTGCTGTTACTCGGCATGTAAGTTCAAAGAAGAGGACGGTTATAACATTTCGTTTACACCAAGTTTCGCACTGTCTTGCCGTCATTTCTGCAATAGTGAATTTATTAAACATTGTTCGCGCAGTTTTTAGATCGATATATTTTAGCTGTCCTTGTAGTTGCCCGTCTCAGGGAGAGAAACCGTACTCCTCTCGGGCCGTGTTGCCTGACCGCGACTTGGGCGACCCGGAGCGCACCCGGGTGCAGAACCATCCACACACAAACGACACCGATCGACAGTTCTCAAAGCATTTGTTACTAACTACACTATCAGTGTTACAGATGCACAGCAGCAACCAGCTTAAGGTTATGTAACTTGGCCGTGCCATAGCTCAGGCAGTTAGTCGCCGGATTCCCAAGGAGGCAGCCCGGGTTCGAGCCCGGGTCAGGTCATATGGGACTTGTGGTGGAAAAAGTGGCATTTGGGCCGATTTTCTCAGAGTACTTCGGTTTCCCTTGCAAATTCGCATTCCACCATTTGCGCCACAATCATCATCATCATCATCATCATCATCATCATCTGGGGCTGGTAAAAGAGGCCAAACAGTGACCGCCGTACCAAGTGGACTCAGTCTCACCCCATAAAAAAATAGCAAAAATAAGGTTATTACTTGGATTCGACCCTGTTTACCGAGGCCTAGTGGTTACAATGGTTTGAGAAAAGCAAACAAATGGTCAGAGATACGCCGAGCGAGTGTCCCCGGTTCCAGCCAGCATCTGTGAAGATAGGCATCTGCCATGGTTTAAAAAAAATTCTGGCGAAAGACGTTCCACTTCAGATTTTGATTGGCTGGACTGGGCAGCTTGGAGGTTTCTTAGTTTGCCTCCACTAATTAGAAAAAATCAAGTGGCTAGGATTTTAGGGGTGAACTCAGCGACCTGCAACGTACATATCTGCCAAACAAAATTTGATGTAGTGTGGGTCCAGAAAGACTCTGCTAAAATCAAGACTTCTGCACAAGTCAGTTTTTAGGTTTTCCAAAGAACCTGGTTCCGTGTACACAGTTAACTTGGATCTGGCTTCAAGCTTGGCCCACGACGCCCTCTTTTAACAAAGAAAGGGACTAACTCCCGAACAAAATAACTAATTGTGAGCCCAAAGTAATTACTTACAAATAACCCTGATTATAAAAAATTAAACATACTCCCATTTTGATAAGCGTAGCTTCAACTCTTCATTATTTATGGCCATCAGACTGAAAGCGAAATATAAATTTCGCGCGATCAGTGTACGAGTATTGCTATTTTACGTCATAAAAAGTTTTCAATAATCTGTTTTGCCGCACACAATTTCTGAGATCTACATTAAACATTTCTTCAACCACAGAAGTTGGCCTAAATGTTATGAGGGGACAGGAAAACACACGGACGGACATGCCAACATGATTCCGTAACACATTCTTCCTTATGACATAAGCAAACTGAGCAGAAAAGAGACAATTGGATAAAAACATTCTAAAGAATACACTTAAACTTCAATACATTATGAAAGATGCATAAACAAAAACATATAAATAAAATGCAAAAAGAACACTTACTTACTTGCTCACTTATGGAGCTGATCACTTCTTGAGGAGAAGCCAAATCTGCAGCTACTCAAGAATTTCCCAGCATTTTATGGAACCCGAAGTTTCATTACCGTGATCACAAGAGCCTTCCACTGGTCCCTATCCTGAGCCAGATCAATCCAATCCATCCCATCCCATCCTATACCTCTAAGATCCATTTTAATATTGTCCACCCACCTACGTCTTGGTCTTCCCAGTGGTCTCTTTCCATCTGGCTTTCTCTCCAATATCCTATATGCATTACTCTTCTCCCCTATTCGTGCTACATGCCCTGCCCACCTCATCCTCCTTGACTTGATCACTCTAATTATACTTGGAGAAGAGCACAAATTATGAGGCTCCTCATTATGCAGTTTTCTCCAACGCAAACAGAACACAAGAAGCGAAATTTGTTAAGATTTTAAATATAGCAGACATCACTTACCTTCTGTTGGAGAGGAATGGTGAACGCCATTGACAGATTCTGGAACAATGTCTCTGTACAGGGAATAGAAGTGACCAGCTGACTTTGCACCACATTGTCTTCAGTTTATTGCCACTGCACTGCTTGGTTACCGTGTTACGATAAACAAACAAGATACACATGAACGACTGGAACGTGTTTAAGTTCGTTTTAAATTAGTTCTTTAACGACGCTCTGAAAATCTAGATTATATCATGGGTAACAGGTTAATATTAATGAACATGAAGCAATTGGTGGAATGAGAAATGGGAAGGGAAAGCGAAGTACTGGAAGAAAACCCGACCCCGTTCCATTTTATCCACCACAAATCCCACACGACCTGCCCTGGGATCGAATTTTGGTCCTCGCGTTAGTAAGACGGATTGAAAATATTTACTTTATTTCGTAAGATGAGAAAAACGATATTTTAAATTTTTATTTTTTTTATTTCTCTGTTAATTTACAATCTACTCACTACAGTAAGGAGCAATATGTAAACTTTTTAAATTTACATATACAAATCTAGTTATTCTGTATTTTTCTTGTTTTATTTAACACTTTGTCAACTGAATAGATCGTACAGCGTCGAATGGGACGATTGGAAAAATGGAAGCATCTGTGACCGATTTAAGGCTCATGTCATCAGTCTCCTTAAGACAGACGCGAAAAACAATATAGGAGACCCCCAGGCATAATTTGAATGGGGAACGCCCCTCCCCCTAATACGAGAACTACCTGTTCCTTCCGTATTGCTCTGTCCTGTTATGGTCTATTCTGTACAGAACCATTAACATGATTTTACAGGGATATTACAGAAAGATTGAACACCTGAAAACATTTATTTTAAGTACTCTACACGGTGTGTCCAGGATCCGTTAGGACTAATTTTTTTAAATTTTGCCCTGCAATGCCATCTGTTGGCGAGTTGTGGCGTTAAGATTCTTGAAGTTTCAGCTGTAGCTGTCTATAATTTCAAAGCACAAGCATCGCTGCATCATTTGTTCTGACCTTGAATGTAACAGACGCTCGTCGGAAAATGGCGGTTGAACAGAGAGCCAACATCAAATTTTGTTTGAAGTTAAACAAAATAGCCGAAGAAGCGTACGAAATGATGAAAAGTGTGTAAGGTAGTGATTGTTTGAGTCGCTCGAACATTTTTCGATGGTATGCTGTATTTCGTGACGGCAGGGAGGACATTGAAGACGCTCCACGTGCATCAAAGCCGAGAACAAGTCGCACTGAAGAAAATGTGAAAAAAGTGACCGAAATCCTTGCATCAGACAGATGTGTTTCTGCAAGACTCATCGAGGAGCTTTTGGGAATACCAAAAAGTACTGTGCATCAAATTTTGACCGAGGATTTGGGCAAACGGAAGGTCTGTGCGCGGTTTGTACCGTACGCGCTGTCAGGCGATGAAAAACATGTCAGAGTGGAACACTGCAAAGACATGTTACGGTCGGCCCAAAGTTATACAAAATTTACTAAATCGATTGTTACTGGTGACGAGATATGGTGTTTTCAATATGAGCCTCTCACAAAGCGGCTGAGTGCAGAGTGGTTGAGCCCAAAGAAGTCGAAACCAAAGAAAGTGCTCATGCAAAAAAGTCGAGTAAAGACACTGCTAACCCTTTTCTTCGATTCCAAAGGAATCATTCATAAGGAATGTCTGCTAGAAGGTCAAACAGTGAATTCTGATTATCTCGGAGTCCTCAATCGTTTGTGGGCGAGAATTCTTCGAATTCGACCTGAATATTGAGAGCAAGGTTCCTGGTCGCTCCTCCACGACAA